GTTTTGGGAAATTCACTATTACAAAATATCATTTCATGTGAATTTAGGTGGCTATAATAGAGCTTATAAATACCACCTACTTCCCTTCTCTTATTCAGGTTTGGATATAATTTCATAATGTTGATACCACGTCCTTTTTTAAAGTGCAAAAACTGAAGAGCTGCTTTCAAGTATCCCATACTGCTAACAAGTATGGCAAGAACAGGACATCCAGAACTTCCCTGGCAGGTGGTCAAATCGTAAGTTGTCTCATAATCTTCAGCTGAACCCTTCTTTTCAACTGCAGGTTCTTTCCCTTGGCCAAAACTGATTCGCTTGTTGCTACCATGAGGATGACCGATTGCCAAAAGGAAAAGGGGTTTCGTAGGCTTAATCAGTGGTCTGTGCGGTAGACCATTCTCAAAAATCTCATTCAAGTAGAATGAAACTTTGCTCAATTTATCGATAAAGTCATGATCTGTTCCAACATCGAATGTAAGAATAGAGAAATCCATTTCCTCACTTGAAGCTCGCGTGCCGACAGGTATTGGGGGAGACCAGGTTAACAGCTTTTCTACTCTCTTGGTAACAACTCCGGATGGTGGAGGACCTTGGGTTCTATTACCTGCAGCTGCATTGTAGAAAAAGTCGATTGTGGCAGCTGCTGCCTCTTCTTCATTGGCAATCACATGATTATTTGTCAGAATAGCAAAATCGCCTTCTACTTTTGTATCAGGAGTATGTCGCGTGCCTGATCGATTAAGTCTTACGACAATCCCAGTTCCTGTTCCGTGATCGCGACCACTGCGGGTTCTCTTTCGCTGCACTCGCACTACACCATCAATTCTTCTCATGATGTCAATTGTAACATTTTCGACGGCACTTGTCAAAAAATCTTTCGCCTTTTCCATTCTTTCTTGTTTTTTCTGACGACTACGTCGTAAGAACCCTTCAATATATAATCGAGAGCCTCTAGTAGCACTGAAACCGAAAATATTGTACAGGAGTTCTCCCTCATGCTCTAAAAGATCTTTTAGTATGTTGCGATAAAGGTCATTGCATTGAAACATTGAGCTGATCCACTCTTTGATGCGGCTTTCAAAGCTTGGGTCACTCACTTCTAGAAAACCTTTGTGGTATTCATCTTCGTCAACAGTTTGTCCCCTTCCGTGCTCCAAGTTGCACTTCTTAATGCTGTCTTCCCACGCTTCGTCCTCGCCAGTCTCACCTTCGTTTGAAATACATAGACTGAGAAGAGGAGGACAACTTTCCAGGGTTTCTAGCTGATCAGAATATGTAGGATTCATCGCCGACTCGATTAACTCAACAAGATCGAAGTAGAATTTAGCTTTAGGCGTCATACATTGGTCACGTGGTCTGAAATTGGGTCAACAACAAGCCGCGGTTTCGGGTGTCTACAACTGAATGAAGACCGAGGAGCGAAGAGCGAAGAGCGAAGAGCGAAGACCGAAGAGCGAAGACCGAAGAGCGAAGACCGAAGACCGAAGACCGAAGACCGAAGACCGAAGACCGAAGACCGAAGACCGAAGATCGAAGACCTGGAAATCAATTAAATAGAATGTGCTAAAACGCTTTTTTTGACGCCAAAACAATGGAATCGATTAGGTCTACGTTGTGTAGTTTTACCCCCCAAAACTACAGAACGAAGACTCCCCTTAAAACGCTTTATTTGACCCTAAAACATCGAAATCGATGGGGTCTTCGTTTTGTAGTTTTACCCCCCTGAAACTACAAAACGAAGACCTCCTTAAAACGCTTTATTTGACGCTAAAACATTGAAATCGAAGGGGTGGTCGTTTCGCAGTTTTACCCCCTTAAAACTACAAAACGATGACCCCTCTTAAAACTCTTTATTTGACGCTAAAACATTGAAATCGATGGGGTCTTCGTTTTGTAGTTTTACCTTCCTAAAACTACAAAACAAAGACCCCCGTTAAAACGCTTTATTTATATTGTCTATTATTTATCTGTATCGGAAGATTCTACCAAAAAATATCCTTTCGAATTCAGCCATTGCTTTTCAAGAATTGTAACAACCTTGAGCGACAGAGTATATTGTTCAACAGTTATTGTCGCAACAACGAATACAATGTAGCGGTAAACATAAACATGTGCCAGAATAACTTTAATGTACCTTTATGGAATATAACAGGTTTGTAGAACGTAATGTGATGTTATCTTGTTCAGATTATTTTCCGTTGTACACTAATTCTGAGTGTAAATTTTGACAAACAATCTTTTCACCGATTTGTTGCTTGATATGTGAAAATCTATTAGTTCCATATGACTTAAAACGCTGTATTTATAACGCTAAAACATTGAAATCGATGGGGTCTTCAATAGTCACGCTTATTCCAAAGAAAATGCAGAGGCCTTGAAAAAGGAAGTCCTGTATTTCCTAAACCACCCTACAGCCAGTTAGCGAAAGGCAAGTTTACAAACTGGCGGTGCTGTCTAATTTGAAGTTGCGAGCGCCAGCTCAAAGTACGGAACCGTACAGGTTTCCGTTTTCAGCGATCATGCGACTTGTGTGTGTGGAAGGTACAAGCACGACAGCATTTGCAAACCGTTCCCTAGCCGTAGCAGCATTGATGTCCATTCTCTATGTCCACCTTAATTTTATCAGAAAGAAATCAAATAAAGGTCATAGCAAGACGGCGCTTGCCGAATACGAGGTTAGGAAAGAAATAGCGGGGAGAAAGGGACGAAAAAACAAATATCCGTATCGACCAGTGAGAGGTAAAGAAACATCCCATAAAGGCACAAGTAGCCGCACGGAAGACGAGCAAGCAAGCCCAAACCCATTTTACACCGAGATTCACCACAACGAGAATCCCTGCATTTATCTTGATGTTCCTCACAGAAGCGGCAAAAAGATGCAAGTCAAGCCATTTGGACTTTTGTCACCGAAAGAAGGTCATCCCCTTTGACCTTATTGTTACGTACACGAATGACCAACAGATGTCCGCTAACAAAGCACATTTAATTAAAAATAGACTCCCGAGTACGATATAAGGCACGCAGCAAAAATGTAACAACATGTACAAGGAGCATAAAGCAGGCTTAAAATCCTTCATGCAGTGTAAGTATTCATCGCCTTGATCAACTTCGAATTCCAACCTCCGCCGACTGAAGACCACAACGCTTGGCTTTCTTGATTCATGGCATTCTTTCGTGTACACAAACTCTTCCGGAGGACTCAATAGTGAACTCTATATTCTTCATCTTCTTCCTTTCTCGGCTATCGTACTTTTCTTCTCTTTCTTCTCTCCAGGTATCGCAAGGTCAAAAGGTCATAGCCTCGTCACATCATAGCTTCCACAAGTTCAGTCAGCCAGCCACGAGGGTAAGCCCTCTGGAAAATCTCTCTTATACTTTTCACAAGCCAGCTTTTATACATTTACTTTAGGTATCTAGGATGTTCTAATACTATTTATAGCATATTACAAGTTGTACTATTTTTGGAACTGCCGAGTCACATGAAAGAAGTTTCTGGAATATTAGAGACTATAAATAATTCTAAATAAGTCTGGGATTGCGTGACAGATTCAGTGAAAATAATTCGATCCTCGTAACATCATATTTCCTCATAATGGACGGTGGGTGTTTCCCGTTAATGGTCATTGGCCATTTGACAGACCATTGGCCGAAAAAGAGTTCGAGAGAGTGGAAACGAAGGCGGAGGAAGAGAGAAAACTTCAGTTTGAAAGGGCCAAATTCGATTGTGACAAGGCCGTCCTTACTGCGATTGCCGAAGCGAAGTTGAAGGCTCTCGAGCAGGCTATAGGGGAAGAAGAAAAAGAAGAGCAAGACATTTCAATCACTATTCCAGATCTCTACAAACCTGTTGAAACTATACAACAGACGCAAGCTTGGGTAAACACACAAAGGGTTCAGGAACCAAGCGATTGCGTGACAGAAAGTTTAAAACACGAACCGGAAAAAAGGAAAATCACTCACATGTGCAACACACCCAAAAGCGGACAAGAGAACGCGCCTCTCTCTGATTTCCAAAGAACGAATCCCTTTGCACCTACTCCTATCGAGGAATTAGCGAGCATCCATGAAAAATTGGCGGCAAATCTAGCGCGACAAAATCTCCCGAAATCTAGCGCGACAAAATCTCCCAATTCAGCTAACCGCCTCCCGTTTAGCTCAATGGATAGGGCGCTGGACTGTTGTGCGGGAGGTCGAGGGTTCGAGCCCCGGCCGGACCAACACTCAGGGTCTTAAAATAATTGAGAAGAATTTAGTACCTTTCTATAACATCTAGAAATGGTTAGATATTCTAGTCTTCTCGGATAGGGGTGAATAAATGGAGGTCCCGTCTCCTGCAGGGTTGGGGTAGGAGACGTTAATTTCCCACGCACGAGATTACTGTGTGATGGATGTCCTCACCTGGGGTGGGATGGGATGGGTGGGTTTATTAGGCCCGCAGGAATCGGCGCAAGCTGTTGCGGTGTCCCTTCCGGTTGGCGAAGCTAAATGAATCTAAATAAATCTAAATAAATCTAACTCTAAATCCCAAAGTGTCACCCAGAGGTATTCGCGGGAGATGTAACACTCTTCCACCCCTGGAGAAGCGCATTCAAGGCGATGATCAAGGACGCAGACGTGTCCCCGGAAATGGAGATAAACTACCTCAGAAGCTATACGAAAGGGGACGCACAGAAAGTAGTAAACAATTACCGCCAGAGACAATACAGAGATCCTGGGATCGCCTTGCAAGACGTGTGGACAGAGTTAGAGAGACGATTTGGCAACGCCGCTGCCATGACTAACGTTCTCTTAGATCGACTTCGGAAAACAGCCAGATTCGGAGAAGGAGACAGCGACAAACTGCAGCCCTTCCAGGGCTCGGATGTCTGAACCACCCCAACGCGACTGCCCCAATCGTGGAAAGTCTGCCCCTGTCCATTCGATCTAAGTGGGAGAAACGTGTAGTACACTATGCGGAAAGATACGGGGATGCGTATCCCGGCGTCAAGGATTTCGCTGCCATGGTTCAAGAACAAGCCCGGTTAAAAAACCACCCCAATGTTTTGGCGAGCACGCAACCAAACAATCAGAAACAGAGAACTCAAGAGAATAGACCACGCCTTCCCCATACACCTAAAATGGAGTTAGAAGCAAACAGGAGAGTCTTCAAGTCAAACATGGAGAACGGAAACGCGCCAAGAGGGGAGGCTGAAGAGGAGAAGTATTGTTACTTTCACCAGCGGAAAGGACACCTTCTAAACGAGTGCAAAGCCTTCGAAAAAGAAGGCCTGGAAGCCAAGGACGAGTTCATTCGCCAAGTAGGACTATGCTTCCGCTGTCTGTCGCAAGGACACAGATCAACCGAATGTTCTGCAGCAATGAAGTGTGCTAAGTGTGGAGACTGCCGCCACGCCACCGTCCTTTACAAGGAGAAGCCTAAAGCTACAAGAAGAGAACACGGCGATGAGCTCCAGACAGCCTGCACAGCCGTTTGTCGCGACCCTCACAGCGTCGGCTTTTCTTGTAGCAAGATCGTTGTAGTCGACGTTTTCAACGAGAATCTAGCACAAGAGCCGTATCGAGTTTACGCAGTTCTAGACGACCAGAGCAAGGCCTCCATGATAAGTCCAAACCTAGTGGACAAATTGGGCGCAACCGGACCTAGCCTAAAGTATTTACTGTCGACGTGCAGTGGCGACAAGGAAGAGAGAGGTCTGGGAGAAGAGTTTCCGGCGTTGTCCTACGTTCTATGGCAGGTAGAATGTCAAGACTACTCCAGCTTGTCGAGTGTACTAACATCCCCCAGGACAAGGGAGAGATTATCACACCGGAAATGGCTACACAATTTCCATACCTTAAAGAGATCGCTGAAGAGATCCCGGCTTACGACCAAAAAGCGAAGGTTGAAATTCTCATTGGCAGGGACGCGCCTGAGCTACTGAAGATCAGGGAGAGCAGGAATGGTTCCAAAGGAGCCCCATGGGCACAACGACTTGACTTAGGGGGGACAGTATCTGACCAAATGTGTCTAGATAGAGTGGGCGGTCCTGTTCACATTTCCGCGCGTCGCACAGCAGTCGAATATCCAGACCCAAAGCTCAGTTTTTCCTGGAGCAGCGAAGATATACGCTGCAAGTCTGCGAAGCACGAAATCGTACCATGTCCTGACCAATACAAGATCAGAGAAAGATACGCGGAAAAAGGAGAAACTGGAGCCGATCTCTTCCGTACATCACCAGACGACAATATGGTGAGCTTGTCTGGAGAAGACAGGCGCTTTCTGGATATCGTGGAGCCTCCGTGGACGAGAATACAGAAAAACCAGTGTGGAAACTGGCAGATGTCTCTACCCCTTCGTCGCCTCAACATCGCGATACCTGACTATCGATCTTTAGCTGTCAACCGTCTCAATGGCCTGCTGCGCACCTTGAAGAAGAAACCCAAACTGAAGGAAGATTACTTTCCAGTTTGTGGCCAAGGTTTTGAGCGCGGTCATGCAGTTCCTCTCCCTCGAGAGGAGTTGTCGGTAACAACCTGTCTGAGGAGGAACGAACCTAACAAACACGGCCCACAAGACCAGGAGCAGACGGCACCTATCAGAAGTGGAGATCAAGTATGGTATTTGCCACACTTCGGGTTTATCACCCCAGAAAACCCGACCAAACTCGTGTTTTGTTTGATTCGTCAGCCGAATTTCATGGAGTCTCACTGAACAAAGAACTACTCCCCGGGCCGGACCTCATGAATAGCCTTATTGGAGTATTGATGCGCTTTCGTCAGGAGAACGTTGCCGCGATGTGCGACATTGAGCAAATGTTTCATTCGCTCCACATGTCACCAGAGCACCAGAACTTTCTTCGATTCCTTTGGTTCAAAGACAACGATCCTTCGAAAGAAGTTATCGAGTACAAGATGACCGTTCACCTGTTCGGCAATGGACCTAGTCCCGCCATTGCCACCTTTGGTTTAAGGAAGATGGCAGATGACGGCGAGGAGAAGTATGGCAAGGCAACGAGAGATTTCGTTTACTGAAACTTTTACGTAGACGATGGGTTGACTTCATGTCCCACAAACCATTAAGCTAATCAGAAACGCCCAAGCCATGTTGGCCATTGCAAACATAAGATTACACAAAGTGGTCTCCAACTCAGTGGACGTCATGGAGGCACTGCCTGCGGAAGATCGTGCCAAGAGCGTGAGCGATCTAGACCTGCGTCGCGATGTACTGCTAACACAGCATTCGCTCGGGTTCCATTGGGATATCGAGAAGGACGACTTCACTTTCCGTGTTTCCTTGCTAGAAAAGCCCTTTACACGGAGAGTACTGTCCACTATAAACTCTGTGTACGACCCACAGGGGCTCGCATCTCCAGTCATCTTGGAAGGCAAGCTAATCCTACAGCAACTCGTCCTCATGGGAAAGAAGGCCGACAACAACAATCGCCTTGGCTGGGACGATCCACTCCCGGAGAATATGAACAAACGCTGGAGTCGCTGGAGAGATGACCTCCCCAACCTAGAGGAGGTATACATTCCTCGATGCTACCACCCCGAAGGATTTGGCACCGTCGAACGAAGAGAGATACACGCGTTTTCCGACGCAAGTAAGGATGCCATTGGAACTGCTGACTACTTGCGAGAGATCAGCTCTGGAGGAAACATTAGTGTTTCACTCCTGTTCGGACGATCCAAGATCGCACCCACCCACTCAACGAGCATACCCAGACTCACGTTGTGCAGTGGGGTTCTAGCCACCCAGGCAGTGAGAATGATACGCAGGGAACTTGATGTCGAAATCAACGAGGAAATATATTACTCCGATTCGAAGGTGGTATTAGGCTATATTCAGAATGAGAACAGGAGATTCTACGTCTATGTAGCAAACCGCGTCCAAACAATCCGCAACGCCACAAAACCAAGCCAGTGGAGATACATTGACACCACAAGTAATCCTGCAGATCTCGCAACACGCTGCATGTCCCCAAGCAAACTTGTGGGGTCGCGGTGGATCTCGGGCCCAGATTTTTTTTACAGAGTCAACTATCTCAGCCTCCATACTTACCTCAGGAGGTGCCTCTGGACGAAAGCGACCCCGAAGTGAAACGAGAAGTTACCGCCAGTGCCACCAGGTCGCACGCTTCACAAGAACTTGGCTGCTCAAGATTCAAACTCTTTTGAACTTGGTCGTCAGTAAAGCGCGCGATTGCTAGTGTCATCTCACTCATAAAAGATTTCAAGGGGAGAAAGGAAGAGCGCTCTAAGAGGCCAACCAAACCCTTACCTATTCCATAAGCAGCAGAGCTCGAACATGCGGGCCAAATCATCGTAAAGACAGTACAGGAAAAAGCCTTCGCTGTGGAGTTAAAGGCGTTATCGTCAACTGGAGGAGAGGGGGGTAAAACTACAAAACGAAGACCCCATCGATTTCAATGTTTCAGGGTCAAATAAAGCTTTTTAAGGGGGGTGTTCGTATTGTAGTTTTAAGGCGGTAAAACTACAAAACGCAAACCCCATCGATTTTAATGTTTTAGGGTCAAATAAAGCGTTTTAAGGGGGGTCTTCGTTTTGTAGTTTCAGAGGGGTAAAACTACAAAACGTAGACCTAATCGATTCCATTGTTTTGGCGTCGAAAAAAGCGTTCTAGCACATTTTATTTAATTGATTTCCAGGTCTTTGATCTTCGGTCTTCGGTCTTCGTTTTGTAGACACTCTTGTCGCAGCTATCCAGTCAAAGATTGCATGTGGCTACTTGCGTGAAATTTTTTTATGCATTAAAACTTGAGGTTGTATAATGACACTGGTAACAAATAATGATATCAAAAATAAAATTGATTATAACAATTGTAGTGTAATAACAATTTAAAGGGGATAGCTCGAGAGCACAATTAGATCGCTACTTCGGGAGAGGTATACCGACGACGTTTTCTGTCTGCGGAACAGAACCAAAGACAAATTAAAAGAATTTGCAAGATGGGCAGACAGCTATATTCTGTCAAGATATTATATTCTCTTGAGTCTGTAAATTGGATCACGATACAATCATTATTCACGGCTGAAATATCAGACTCAGAATTTATATTCTTGGACACAAAAGTGAACGGAAGCGAGAGGCTCAACAGGAGATCGACCCTTGACGTCCAAACGCATTACAAAGAGAAGAAGACCCTCGAACACTTGAATTTCTATTCGCGTCATTTATGAGACGCAAAAAAAGGATTCGTAAAGGAGACGCGCAACGTCTTCTCTAAGAAATTCGTCACCTCTATGTTCAGTAAAAACTCATAGTGTTTCAAAATATGCATAAAGAATAGATGAAATTTAAGAAAAGGCATCTCTGAATTTGTTCCAACAGGAGTGAAAGGTCACCCAAAGACTTACTCAAAAGACTAAGGAATCGACATGGTTGGGATTAGGCTTTAGATCGATTGTAAACGTTTCCCCGTCCAACGGTCACCCAATAGCCGCGAGGGCTTTGTGACTCTGCAGACTCGCTGCTCCGCGTTTTCTTGCCAAATCCTCAAGCTGTCTTTCGTTCATTCTATGCTTTTAAATTGATCTAGTCAGCCATATAATGTTAGTTTAAAACGCGTAGCTCGTGTTCTTTTCTCTCATGTTTGTTCTGGTCTATTATTTCTCCGTTAGTTAATGATCATTACTCAATAAGTTTCCTATTTCAATCAGTTTCATTTATGCGCACATACTAGATATTGGATTTCATAATTCATTGCCACTAGTTGCTCTCAATACTGCCAAATTTTGTCTGCTATTTACCAATCATCTGCTAGCAGCGAGTTACCTATAATCATTAGAAGTTAGACCGAAGTAAGTCTTTCTTTATTTTACATTTAAGATATTTCCCTGTTTTGGTACTACATGGTTCATTTCTCGCTTTCAGTTCACTTTATAATCGCTTCATTGTTAATTAGGCTACTTGTTACGTTTCTCAGGGGTATTTTCTTAATTTAGTTTATGCTGTATTTTAGTTCGAACAACACAAATTCAGCCATATAAATTCAGCAACACTGACAAATTCAGCTACAATCGCCATGCAATTATAACTTCGCTATCTTCAACTGTACTTCGCCCTTTTCATCTGTGATTTCACACAGATCTCTATTTTCGTTTGTAATTTTGATTACTTACCCCATTTGATTAAACCGTTATTTCTACTGTGCGTTCGAATTGTCTTCTCCACTATACTAGTAACCTCTAGCTGGAGGTTACATATAATACGGCGGCGAATTATCGCACAAGACCGGATCTTTTTTCGACAGCTTCATTATCGCAAACGTGGTATGAAACGTCAAAAAGACGCAGGAAGTAGACGATAGACACTTGAAGAAACCAGATGAGTGTTTAAAAAGCCATGCAGTTCTCGATCAAGAACGATTACAAAAATTTAGTCGAATAATTTTACACATTCGGTAGGCCTTCCTTTTCTGTAATGCAAAAATTACCAAGAAAGGGTTCTGCCCCCGCAATGAATCCTGGTTGAGCGTGGGCCTCTTAAATATTCCGCCATTCCGCCGATGCACCGTTTCTCCGCTCCACCGTTCCTCCGCTCCATCATTCCATTCTATAGTAATTGTGTATGTGAGATAAGAGAAATTAAACGCGAGAAAACACTAACGCGATGAAATGTCTTCCCATTGCTTCTGCACTGTTGGAGAGCCTTTCTGCAGGCTTCACAAATGTCTCCCGATGTTGTCTCGAGGAAACCAAAACAAGCTTCCAAGTCGGCGTTTGATTGCCTGTGTACACTACGAAATGGAGTTTTCTGAGACTTTTTCCCGCAAATTATACACCCATGCTTCGACCTTTTTACACTTTCTGTCACGTTTACGATAAAAATTAGTGCACACACTTGCAAAACGAAAAACAATTTTGTTTGCACCGCCATTGCTCACAACTTCGTGTCAGTTTTTCGAAGAAAGGCGGGAATTTCGAGCGGGAGTTTGTGAGGGCGCACACCAGCGGCTAAACTCATCGAAACTCAGATCATTTGCATGCGCAGACAGAATGCCTCTCTGCTCTGATTGGTCATTCGCTTTTTGTACCCCTCCAAAACGGAAGTAGTTGCTTTCCTAACTGGGATAAATTTGGTAGCATTACATCATGGCTTCTTCGATGCAGAGTAGTTAAAGATACTCGCAGTTTTCGAATGATTCATATCATCGAAATCACGCGCGATTGAATCCTTTGGATATTCTCTGCTTCAAGAGAGGTGTAGTTATGAAAAGAATAACTTGACGAAGTTCTTCCTTCTTCTGAGTGAAAGATTTCAGCGAAAATCATTTTGTACCAGTACAAACAGGAAACAAGGATGAAAGCCTTCTGGAAAGAACATGTTATGAGGATCGAATTATTTTTACTGAATCTGTCACGCAATCCCAGACTTTTCTAGAATTATCTATAATCTGTAATATTCCAGAAACTTCTTTCATGTGACTCAGCAGTTTCCAAAAATAGTACAACTTGTAATACGCTATAAATAGTAATAGAACATTCTAGATAACTAAAGTAAATGTATAAAAGCTGGCTTGTGAGAAGTACAAAAGAGATTTGCCCGAGGGCTTACCCTCGTGGCTTGCTGACTGAACTT